TTTTGTTCCCCCTCTTACTTAGCAGAAAGATCAAGAGCAACGAGCTTCCTTACTTTCAATCTTTGTGGGGCAGCCCTGGGGGATCCCAGCCTAAATGGGGTTCTCCTGACTGAATTTTCACCTTGCAAGGTCCTCCCCTTCCACAAGACCCTGCATCCTACGCCGCTATTAAAGCCAAAGTTCTCGGTCTCCGTGGATGGAGAGGTGTCCTTCGAGCCGCCAGTGGCATCGGCGTGCAGACTCCTCTGTGCAGATGTGGGTCTCTGCATATGTGGGTGTGCGCACATTGCCTTTGAGGATTCACCTGTTCCCTTGTCACCTGGAACTATCCATTTTCAAAGATATTTAAAAGTTCTTTACTAGCATTCATAGTTAGATTAGCAGAGGTATTTTTAGGATTTTTCCTGCAATATTCCCAGAAACTCTCAGATCTGAAATAAGAGATCTAGATAGCTGTATTATTATTATTATTATTATTATTATTATTATTATTATTATCATCATCATCATCATCACTTTGTGTCAGATACTGGCTAAACACTATCTTATCTCCTTTAACCCTCAAAACAACCCTATAAGAAAGAGATGATTAATTCCACACTTCCTAGAGCAGGGACATAAGACTCTGAGAGATTATACTGCCCAGAGCAACATAGGTATTAATCAACAGAGCCAGTGTGTCTCATGGCCAAGCTCATGTTTTTATACACAATGATGCTCTCTTAAAGGCTTGGAGACTGTTGAGTAAATGCTAACACATGTCTCCCTCCCTAGGTGTGTAACCAACCTCTCTCTCATTTTATTGATTGATTGATTTGGGGTCTCACTCTGTTGCCCAGGCCGGAGTGCAGTGGCATAATCACCATAGCCTCACCGCAGCCTCAATCTCCTGGGCTCAAGCCATCCTTTCTCCTTCGCCTCCTGACTAGCTGGGACTACAGGCACACACCGCCATGCCTGGTCAATTTTTAAACTTTTTATAGAGACAAGGTCTTACTTTGTTTCCCAGGCTGGTCTCAAACTCCTGAGTTCAAGGTCTCCTCCTGCCTCAGCCTCCCAAAGTGCTGAGATTACAGGCATGAGCTACTTCGCCCAACTCTCTCTCTCTCTTTTTAAGCAAAATCAAATTTAAACAACTGGCATCATTTGGAGTTCAGACAGGAAGACAGAGCCATTCCAAGTGCTGTAGGCAAGTGGGGTTTCATATTGAAACTGGAGCTAAGCCGGGCTCGGCGGCTCAGCCTGTAATCCAGCGCTTTGGGAGGCCAAGGTGAGTGGATTGCCTGAGCCCGCGGGTTCGAGACCTGCCTGGGCAACTTGGCGAGACCTCATCTCTACAATAAATCAAAATGAGCCGGTCGTGGTAGCACACACCTGTAGTTCCAGCTACTTGGAAGGCTGAGGCGGAAGGATCGCCGGAGCCTAGCAGGTCGAGGCTGCGGTGGCCAGGAGTGAGACTCCAACTCAAAAAAAAGAAAAGAAAAGAAAAGACACTGGAGCTTACAGGATTCGAGGTGAGCTGGGGAGATCAAGGAGGTCAGCGGGGAGCTGGATGATCAGAGAAAGCCCTAACCACCTCAGGCCACAGCACCAGCTGTGCAAGAAGATGCGAGAAGCTTTGTGCAGGGCCCCAACATTCTCAACAGCAAGGGAGAGCTCACAGAGAGGTCTGCGGAAACTTCTACCGCCTCAGAAACGCCCAGGATCGTGGACCTCAGCCAAGTGCCATCTGGCTGGGGGGCTTGGGGGCTGTTGGTTGGTCAGATGGACAGTTGAGGAGACAAGCTGGGCAAGGAGCAGAGAGCGGCCCAGGCAAGCTGGGGCCGCTGTGTCTACAGGTCACCGCGTATGGGCACCACAGCCTTCCATGGGGCATGGCCTCTTCCTTCAAAGTCTTCTCCTGGCAACTCTGACCCAGGACCAGAGACAGAAGGGGATCCTGGGAAACAGGCCCGGCCTTGGGAGAGGCAGTGCCAATCTGCCTGCAGGTAATCTAGCATGCAGCTCTATGACATCTAGAACAGGTGACCCTTTGAATCTATCTGGAATATAATCTAAATACATGTTTACGGTACTTCCTTTCAAATTTAAAAAAACAAAATCAATGAATGTGGTATTTGGTAATGCTTTTGATTTTATTACCAACAACAGCATTCTTTTTTTTTTTTTTTTTTTTGAGTTGGAGTCTCACTCTGTCACCCAGACTGGAGTGTAGTGGCCGCTCCCGGCCACCGCAGCCTCGATCTCCTGGGCTCTGGCGATCCTTCCGCCTCAGCCTTCCAAGTAGCTGGAACTACAGGCGCGTGCTACCATGCCTGGCTCATTTTTTATTTATTGTAGAGATGAGGTCTCGCCAAGTTGCCCAGTTGGGTCTCGAACCCACAGGGTCAGGCAATCCACTCACCTCAGCCTCCCAAAGCACTGGGATTACAGGCTGAGCCACAGAGCCCGGCTAACAGTATTCTAATATAAAACTTAAGTACAACTTTTGAATTTAGGTCTGGTATTTATTCATAAGCTGTTATCATTAAGCCATAAGACCATCCGGCTGTTGTCTAAGAAAATCCCAGGAGACACACAATGAAGACTTTTTAATATCTTCATCTGCAGACTCAGGGAGCTCCTGTTCTGATAATCCTGAAATGAATGATAGTGCTAGATCTATAAACAGGTAGCATCGTGTTAAAATCACCATGGACAGATTTTGTGGTTGTTCATATTCTGTTTCCTTATCACCTGTTTTTGTTTTGTTTTGCTTTAACACTTTGGTCTTCATGGAAACAAGTTCTGAACAGAAAATATCAAATACTACTTTCAGTGTTTGAGTCCAAGTTCCTGCTTGCCTGAGTGAAGCCCTCTTACCACTACGTGTATCCCAAAACACACACAACTTATCAAACTGCAGCTAGTTAATCAGTAAGAGTTGACCCCACCACGTTCAAAAGCCAAGGAAAGCATTCAAGATGGAGACTAAGTCTCAGTGTCTCCCTAAATCTTCACCGCCTTAAATAGAAATCTTCTAGGACTTTGTAGACACCTCTAATTTATTATCATCCCATGGACATTTCTAGAAGTATTTCTCCCTCTGATTCCTGAGTTCCCCTTTCTGATGTTGAGAAACTTCTGAATGTACTATTTTTGGATTTATGTTTTCACGAGGAAGATCTGTTTTCAAACAAAAGCTTAACGAGTCCAGTGTTAATGATTGTCTAAGCCATCAGGAGGTCCCAATGGTTCCAGTCTCCATAGAAACGTGAACACAGTGACCTCTAGTGGACACACGCAGCCAGACTGTCCGATTCTCAATGCGGAGGCCATTCACTGGGTGATAAAAGCTCTTTTTCTTTCGACCTAAAGTCATTGTCAGATTCTTCCAAGAATCATAACTGAGGCAGCATAAAGAAGTGGCCTTTTCTCTCTGTACTTACTCTCTATTCTCTTTTCTTCATATCGATCAGGAAATTTTTTTTTTATGGAAACTTTTTATTTATATAGAATTATAAATGACAAACTATTATTTTGCCTAGTCCTTTTAAACACCACTGAGGCAGACAAGCTGGAGGACATTAGCTTCATTTTAGAGGTATGACTGTAAACACTGTTCCCATATTTAGTATAAGACAGAGCTGGGATATAAGAACTAGACTTTCATACTCACAACTGCTTTTTTCCTTAGACTGTGATACATCATTTTAAAGAAATCTGATTTCACAATGCTTTACAGTATGAGTAACCTCTATCCTTGGCAGGTTAACTCTGAAGCCAAGCAACCTAATTAATTATCTCATAACCTGGCACATTTTAAGGCAGTTATACCTCTAACTCAATTTCATAGCTGTGCTTGAGGGCCCCTTGAGCCAAAATTACAGCAAAGCTGATCTGAAAGGACCAGGGAATACAATGGTCAATCATGTTTTCAAGTTTAATCTAGGCCTGGCACATCCTTACCAATTGCTCATTTGGCAAGTTGAGGCAACTAAGGGAGGGAAGCAGAGGGAAAATTCACTCAGGGATGGACACTGACGAAAAATACAAATGGTATCAACGTCCCCAGAAGCCCTGTTGCTTGTCTACTACATCAGTACCAGCAAGACAAAGGGCAATGGTTCAGGAGTCCAGAAGATGCAAAGATCGATTAAGCTGCCTAATTGGGTTCTAAAAAAGTCATACACTGCTAATTGCATCCATGCCATACCAAGAAAATCGTTCATTCCTTCCTGATATGAGTTTTATGGGGAGGGCTGATTCTCAGAGAAACCAGGAAATTCCATCCTGAAGCCCAGGGGGAAAATGATGGGCATCTCCCAGAGTTACAGATGGTGCAGGAGCAACACAATCTGCACCTTGAAGGGGAAAAATTGTCTTGGTAAACTTATGTCTTCCATAGGATATGGAACCAGAGGTTAGAAAGATCAGGGCCTGGGTGATCTGACAAGAAAAAGGACTTCCTCACATAAGGTACACAGGTCTCTGAGAAGGGTATGACCACCCTAAAACTGCAAGCAAAATTTTGAATACATGTATGTTTTCCTGGTGAAGGAGTCTTTTATTCTCAAATCTTGAGCTAGAGAAAAGGATTTAGAGCCAGCCAAGCGTGAAAGCTCTCAAAACCATTACTGAAAGGTTGGAACATCGACTCAGAGAAAAGACAACCGAGCAGTTGTTTTTGTGCACTTGTTCCTAAGTGTATTTCAAGTCTTTTCAAAGTAAGGTCCCAGGAACCCCCAGATTCAAGCATGCCCCTGGGCTTGGTCCACTGCTGCAGAAGTCTTGTACAATGCTTGCTTTATTCATTCACCAATACTGAACCTCAGGATAGAAGATGTGACATGACACATTGATTTCAAAGGTGCATGACACATTGATTTCAGAGGTGGGGGCAGCCAATGTGGAGAACATTGGAATTTTTCCTTGGAACTGGACTGTGATGAAAGGTGCCTGCCATTAACATAATCTTCTATCTTTTCCCTGATCCTTTCCTTCCAGTTTTTGAAGGAAGAGTCCCAAATATAATCTTCTCTGAAGATACTTGATAACAATTCCAAAAAACAAAAACACATGCTTCCAATGCACTGTGCTTTCAGATATTCTAGGTCTAGTTCAGCAGGCGGATTAGCTGATTGATGCGTTCACCCCGATAGCCAGGTGAGCCCATTTCCTTGACAAAGCCTACTCTATTTTTGGTAGCATGACGGGCTACTGAGAGTTGGAAAGGGCGCAAGAACCATGAGAACTCCTGGAAATGCTTTCCCGGGAAGGCAATTTCATGAATGAGGTCTTCCAAGCAAATGACACCAAACTTCCCCAGGTGCTCCTCAATCATTGTGTTGTCTGTCAGAGGAATGGTCTTATTCTTGACCCTGGCTTGTCCACGTTTCAAGATGAGTTCCCGAACGGACTTCAGATTTGGAAATCCCCAGGTCACATAGGGCTCTACAATATGCAGCATTTTTAGGCTCTGGGGGGTGACTTTGACAAAGACACCACTGAAAATTTTCTTCAGGTGAAGTCTTGCAGTGGTCCTCTGCACCAGTGAACTCACCCCATCAATCCTGTGGATGCGTACAACAAAGGCCAAGGAATGTTTATCTGGCAATTCCAAGGCATGAGGTTTCACTTCTAGTCTTCTAAGACGCACACTGTCACGTTTCTGCCGCCAGGAATCATACAGGAACAATTCCAATCGCTTAAACTTGAGCCCTTTTCCTTTTCTTTGCTCCTTCCTTGCCAAAAGCGCCTGCTTTGCCTGGGTGGCTTTGAGAGCTTGATAAGCCTTCCTCTTTTTCAGATTTTCTGAAACCAAAGGGATTTTCCTTTGCTCTTCCTCCGCCATCTTTCTAGGTCTTGATCAGGAAATGTTATTAGTGCAGACCCTTAGATGGTGCTGGCTCTCACCTCAACACGTGCCACTCATTCCCCTCAATCTCCAAGGACTGCATCAGCATCGAACTCAGCCACACACAACTGTGCACAGGTGCCGGCTCGGCCCCAAGTCCATTGAGTCCAAATCACCAGGCAGGATCCCAGAAGTCTCTTCAGAAGCTCTACCTATGATTCTAATGCCCTTGAGAGGTCAAAACCCACCATTCTCCCTGCATCCTCTGCCTGCACCATTTTTCTTTAGTTAAAAAAAAATATTTACTTTAATGTTCAAATTTAATTTGTAAACAGATATTATATGCATATGATTATAAAATCAGAAAACAAAAAACAAATATTCATGTGTCCAGTGGAACATTTCCCTGCAATTCTGCATCTGCCTAGTCCCCCGTAAACACCTGCACTATAGGGCCCTTGGTCTCAGGTGCCACCCTGTCACAGGGATTCCTTCGGGAGGTACAAGTGAACACAAATGTAGATTGCCATCTTCCCAAAAGTCAACATGCTATACAAAGTATACTATAATATACAAGATTTTCATACTTTGTTACTATATCTCTTTTAGATCGTTTCATATCAGTACACAGAAAGCTTCCCCACTCTAATTTTTTTTTATTGCAGAGATGAAGTCTTGTCATCTTGCTCAGGTTGATCTCGAACTTCTGAGTTCAGGCAATCCTCTCCGTCTCCCAAAGTGCTGGGATTACAGGAGTGAGCCACTGCACCCAGCCTCCCTATAATTTTTAAGCAGCATGTCATCCCCTCCTAGGGGCATACGATAATGTCTAACCAGTCCCCTGATGAGGGATAATGTGTTTCGCCAATCTTTTGCTATTAGACCATATTCCAATGGCTGACCTTGCACACAGATCATGTGTGCCGGTATTCCTGTAGGAAAAAAAAATTTCCTAAGTGGAATTGGTAGATCAAAAATAATGTTGTAATTTTGGTAGATATCGACAACCCCTTTTATAGGGTTTCACACACCCTTTTCTTAAAAAAGAGTTTTAGTGAGGTATAATTTGCAGTCATAAATTTCATCTGTTTTCAGTATATATCATTCCCTGGTTTTTGCTTCTTTTAAATTTTAGAATGGGGGTACATGTGAGGAATTGTTACATAAGTATACAGTATCGCAGGAAGGTGAGCTTGGGCTTCAGCCCCCACTCCCACCACAGTGGTGATCATGGTACCCAATGGGTGGTTTTGCATCCTTTATCCACCTCTTCTCCTTCAGTAGTGCCCTACATCTGTTGTTTCCATCTTTGTGCCCACGTGTGTTCAGTGTTTAGTGCCCACTTATGAGTGAAAACATGATTTTTGCTAAGCCACTCTGGGCTACAATTTAAAAAATACATTTGATTTTTGTCCCCAGGGTCCTGGTACAAAGCTTGGGAATTTGGAATTTCCTGAGTGATAGGAGTGTCTTTTGTTATCCTTCACAAGCTTCCTTTTGACTGTACCTGAGTTAATGCCAAAGAGGTGACTCATGACAGAGCCCCTAGCTAGCTTCAAGACAGAGGTAGGCAAGCAGAAAAGCCAACGAAGTGGTTAGGAAGTTGGAAATTCCGGCCCCACCCTCCAATCCTGGGGAGGGGAAAGGGACTAGAGATGGAATTCAGTCACGGGTCTAGTGCTGTCATCAGTCACGGCTATGTAACTCAGCCCATATAAAAACCCCGGACCCTGAGGCTCAGAGAGCTTTCTGGTTGAAGAACACATCAGTGTGCTGGGAGAGTGGCATTTCCAGAAAGGGCTGGAAGCCCTGCCTCCCCCTACTCCCACAAGATGGCCCAAGCCATCTCTTCCATTTGGACGTACGTACATTGTACCCTTTATAATAAAATTGTTGTTGCAACTGTAGCAATTTCAGTAAGTTCTGTGAGTCATTCTAGCAAATTATTGAACCTCAGGGAGGTAGGTCATGAGAAACCCCAAATTTGAAGTCAGCAAGGTAGAAGGACAGGAGGCCTGGGGCATGGCAACCAACTGAGACATGTGGCTGGTGTCAGAGGTGAAGACCATCTTGTGGAACTGAGTCCTTAGCAGGCGGGGTCTGTGCTAACTCCAGGTATTTTAGTGTCAGACCTGAACTGAAGTGTTGGACACCCAGTTGAAGTCAGAGAATTGTTGTGAGAGCATACACACCATTATCTCAATCCAGCAGAGGAACGTTTGTGGGGTGATAGAAATTCCAAATCTTGTAGTTCTTCACTTACCTGGCCTCTTTTTTAAAAATTTTAAATTATTTTCTAATTTTTTGGTAGAGACAGGGTCTTATCATGTTGCCCAGTCTCAAACTCCCATTTCCCACCAGAAGTGCTGGGATTATAGGCGTGGGCCACTGTGTCTGGCAGACCTGACTCCTTTGCAGCATTTGACACAGTCGAACTCTCTTCATTCCTAAAATCCTCCTCTATTGGTCTCCAAAAGCTAAACTTCTGGTCTTCTTCTTTCCTCTGACCACACTGTCCCAGGCTCCTCGTGGGCTCTGACTTCTGTTTTTGTATCTAAAATAGCTTTTTAGGGACTAGAGGTTGAGTTTAGTCATGTGGCTAGTGCTGTCTATTCCCCAGTGCATTGGTGACTCCTGTTTCCAATCAAGGTCTTTCTCCCAGGCTGACAACCCACAGTCCACCCACCCTTTGGACATTTTCCCATGGACACACTGAACTTAACACACTATGAGGAAACTCGTCTCCTCACTTTGCTTCCATGCTCTGTTCCAAACCTGCTCTTGCTCAAGCGTTCATGGTCAGCGTGAATTGCAGCTGTCCCCAGTTCTGTTGGAGTTGAAGTGCTCTGGGTTCTGCTCTACCTGGAGGGGACCTTGACAAGTACATCCAACATTCTGCCAAACAAGAGAAATTACTTCATATTTTCCAAATTTCATAATTTCAGAATCGCTCCTCCATAAAAGAAGGAGGAGAAGAAGAAGAAGAAAGAGAAGATGTAAATGCAAGTGAAGATTTAGTCATGGCTGAAGTGCACCAGTTAGGGAACTGATTATGTGATAGACCAAGAAATTATCTTGGACATTAAATCATGAAGCAGAGTCCGAAGGACTTACTTTTTCTTTCACAGCAGACCCACATGCTTTTTCTAGAAGATGGAATTAAGGCTCATGTAAAAACTGGAAGCTTCCTACACATGTGCCTTTTAAAAAATAATTTCACTAGGACCAGTCTATTGCTGGGGCCAGACTCTGACAAAGGAAGGTGGGTGGGCTCCTGTGGCCTGTTCTCCAACCCCAGGTCCTTGTGGACCAGCTAGGGCATGAGGGCCGCAATAAATAGCTGCTGAACTATGAAAAAAAAAAAAAATTCTGAGGCATTACTATGTGATCACAGTGCTAAGTACTTTATATACATTATTTCATGCATGTTCACAACAACTCTGTCATCTAAGTGTTTGCTCCATTTTTTTAAGACAAGGACATTTTGGTTTAGAGAGATTATCTGCCCAAGAACACATAACTGGTAAATTCTCAGGCTTGAATTCAAGTTTAGGAAGGTCTGCTTGCAGAACCTGTACTCTGAACCATGACAGGAACCAAGGCCCTCTTTGGTCACAAAGGGAGTCCAAAAAAGTTATCTGAAAATGAAATTATCTGAAAAATCCTTCTGAATTTTTCAGGCTGAGCAAAAGCATCCTTCTTTGTAAGAATCCTAAAGTTTTGATTCCCTTTTATTTATTATAAAGCCGTGATTCATATGTTTAGAACTCCTCAGTGTTAAATTCTCTCTAGTACACTATTAAGTAAATAACAAGGTGCAGAACAGTACAATTGCTTTGGGCAAAATGTATATTTGTCCATAAATAGATACCTATTTTAGGATATGTGCCTTTTAAAATAATGGAACACTAGGGATAAGAAGGGGCTGACATTGGGGGAGAATCCTTTCACTTGTGTACAGTTTTGCATGGATTACATTTATAAATGGGTTAAGGGGGTGGGGAGACCAGGGGCCATGTTTTGGTTTGTTTTTATGACTCTTTGGATTTAAAAAAATCAAACTGACATTATTTTTAAAAACTATCTACTTGAAGTGTTTTTCTACAAATAGCCTTTTCAATAAACAGCTTAGAAAAGGTGAAGAGTGTGATTGGAGTTATGAAGAAATCTCCCTTCTGGCTTCTGGTAAAGGGTGTCATTTGAATGAAGAATTCACATCGCCTTCCACCTGAAAAACTACTGAATGTTCCTGGAGTACAACAGACAAAAGAGCCTCTTTGTCTGTGAGCCAAACCCATACATAGTTGGAGAGCAAGTTGCTTTGAAAAGCTCAGAGGAACAATCAATTAGAGTACTTCACCACTGAGAAGAAGCAACCCCCCCCCCACCCACATACACACACCCTTGAGGGTTGGTCCCTTTCCACCCTTCACACCCATGGGCCAAAGGAGGAGAGACTCCTTCATCCTATTTTTTTACAAGTGGCCTTGAAGCTTTACAAAGGTGTTTTGTATGAGTACCTCAATGGAATTTACATTGGAATTTATAAGATTTTAAGATAGACCACTTCTCATAAGAAAAAATAATGTTTTCTTGGCTGGGCATGGTGGCTTATGCCTGTCATCTCAGCACTTAGGGAGGCCGAGGGAGGTGGACTGTTTGAGTCCAGGAGTTTGAGACCAAACTGGGCAACATGATGAAAACTCATCTCTACAAAAAAGTCAATTAACTGGACATGATGGCTCATGCCTGTAGTCCCAGCTACTTGGGATGCTGAGGAGGAAGGATCACCTGAGCCCAGAAGGTTGAGACTGCCGTGAGCTGTGATTGTGCTACTTCATTCCAGCCTCGGCGACAGAGTGAAACCTCAAATCAAAAACAGAATAAGAAAAATCAGTGGTCCAGTTTTGTCCCTTTGAATGTAATCCTCTTCCACCCTGGCTGTTTGTTCATTGATGCATTTTTGTTATGACATGTTCGGTGTGGATTAGTGTCCTTC